ATTGGATTTCATCAAAATTAAACAAAAAATTTTTTTAATGTTTAATTTTGAGAGAGAGAGACAGAGTGTGAGCAGGGGAGGGGCAGAGAGAGAAGGAGACACAGAATCTGAAGTAAGGTCCAGGCTCTGAGCTGTCAGCACAGAGCCCGATGCGGGGCTCGAACCCACGAACCGTGAGATCATGACCTGAGCTGAAGTTGGATGCTTAACCGACTGAGCCACCCAGGCGCCCCTCAAAACTTTAAATTAACAGAAAAGAGAATGAAAGCATAAGCAATAGACTGGGAGAAAAATCTTTGCAAAGCATGTATCTGATAAAGGAGTTATATCTAAAATATATAAAGAACTCTCAAATAAGAGAGCACTCAATAATAAAACAACCCTGTCCAGAAAAGGCCGAAGCTTTATTTGCATGGTTTGCAAATAAACACACGAAAAGAAGCTCAACGTCATTGGATAGTAGGGAAATGCAAATTAAAAGCATCATGAGAGACAATAGGTACCTACTACATTGGCTAAAATTAAATAAAAAACCCAAACCGACCATACCGGGCTTTGGTGAGAATGTGGACAAAATAACTCTCTTATTTCTTGCTGCTACAAATACAAAATAATATGAGCAAGATTTAAAACCATGTGGCGGGGCACCTGGGGGGGCTCAGTCTGTTGAGCTGAGCGTCTGACTTCAGCTCAGGTCATGATCTCACAGGCTGTGGGTTCGAGCCCTGCGTCGGGCTCTGTGCTGACAGGTGGGAGCCTGGAGCCTGCTTGGGATTCCGTGTCTCCCTTTCTCTCTGTCCCTCCCCTGGTCCTGCCCTGTCTTTCTCTCTATCTCTCAAATATAAATAATCATTAAAACATTAATTAAAGAAGACAGTTATAAAACCATTTTGCAGTTGCTTGAAAACACACATCTGGGCAGGTGGGTATACACTACGGGGTAGCCATTCCACTCGTAGGCATATTTCTAAGAGAAAAGATACACTCGCCCAAACAAAGCCTTGTAGATGAATGGCCAACACAGCCTAACTGGAATAGCCCAAACTTGAAAACAACACAATCACCATCAGCAGATGAACGAATCAGCAAATTGTAGTACATCCACACAACGGACTATTGCTCAGCAACAAGAAGAATGAATTACTGATTCACACGACAACTCAGATTAATCTCAAAGTCATGGTGAAAGAAAGAAGCCAGGCTCCCCAGCCCTCCAAAAGTACAAATTGTACAGAATAATATATATTATATGGTTCTGCTTATATAAGAGTCCAGAAAATGCAAACTGACCTTTAGTGACAGAAAGCAGACCAGTGATAGCCCAGGGTGAGGTTCACTGGAGGGATTACCAAGGGGCCCAAGAAGAATTTTGGGAGTGAGATCTATTCACTCTGTTGGTGTGGTGATGGTTTTATAGGAGTATCCATGTGTCAAAACATACTAAATTGTATCCTTCAATTTTTTAAATGTTTTTTCTTTATTTCTGAGAGAGAAAGAGACAGGGTGAGCAGGGGAGAGTCAGAGAGAGGGAGGCACAGAAACCGAGGCAGGCTCCAGGCTCTGAGCTAGCTGTTCACACAGAGCCCGACGCGGGGCTCGAACCCACAAACCGTAAGATCATGACCTGAGCCAAAGTCAGATGCTTAACCGACTGAGCCACCCAGGTGCCCCTAAATCGTATATTTTAAATAGGAGTACTTTATTTGGTGTATGTCAATCATACCTCAATTAAGCTGTTTAAAAATTTTGTTTTAATGCTTGACAGACAGACAGAACACGAGCAGGGGAGGGCCAGAGAGAGAGAAACACAGAATCTGAGGCAGGCTCCAGGCTCTGAGCTAGCTGTCAGCACAGAGCCCGATGCAGGGCTCGAACCCACAAACTGTGAGATCATGACCTGAGCCAAAGTCGGACGCTTAACTGACTGAGCCACCCAGATGCACCCTCAATAAAGCTGTTTTAAAAGAAAGAAAGAAGGGGCACCTGGGTGGCTCAGTCGGTTAAACCTCAACTCTTGATATTGGCTCAGGTTGTGATCTTGTGGTTGTGAGACCCAGCCCAGGGTCCAGCATGGGGCTCTGTGCTGAGCATGGAGCCTGTTTAAGACTCTCTCTCTCTCCTTCTCCTTCTGCCTTTACCCCACTCACACGCTTGCTCGCTCTCTCAAAAATAAACATGAAAAAAAATTTTTTTTAAGTTTAAGTTTTTAAGTTTAAGACAGAGCACGAGCAAGAGAGGGGCAGAAAGAGAGGGAGACAGATTTCGAAGTAGGCTCCAGGCCCTGAGCACAGAGCCCAACACGGGGCTTGAATTCACGAACCATGGTATCATGACCTGATCCAAAGTTGGAGGCTTAACTGAGCCACCCAGATGCCCCAAGAAAAATACTTTTTCAAAAATTTTTTTATGTTTTATTTCTGAGAGAGAGAGAGAGAGAGACAGCATGAACAGGGGAGGGTCAGAGAGAGAGGGAGACACAGAATCCGAAACAGGCTCCAGGCTCTGAGCTGTCAGCACAGAGCCCGACACAGGGTTCGAACCCACGAACCATGAGATCATAACTTGAGCTGAAGTCGGACGCTTAACCAACGAGCCACACATGAAAAATATTTTTAAAAGAAAGAAAGGAGAACATTAGGGACATTCATCTGGCAGAGAATGGGCTGGGGATAGGCTGGAATGGGAATGTTCCAGGTATTTATTGCGGTGTAACAAAACGTTTTATCCTATTTCACAATTGTGTGGATCAGGAATTCCTTCCTGCTGGCTGAGCTGAGTGACACCCTGTGACATCACCGTGGCCGGATTCTGGCTGGGATGGTCTGCTGGGTCCAAGATGGCTTCCTCACACGCCTGGCACTTTGGCAGCAGTGGGTCGGGCCCCTTCCCTTCTGCATGTAGACTCAGGGGCTCTGCACGTGGTCTCTCCAGAGGGGATGTCAGGCTTCTTATGTGGTGGCTCAGGCTGCAACAGACAAAGGTAGAAGCTGCCATTCTCTTAAAGACTGAGCTCAGGAGCGCCTGGGCGGCTCCATCGGTTCAGCATCCAACTCTTCATTTCAGCTCAGGTCATGAGCTCACAGTTCGTGAGTTTGAGCCCTACACCGGGCTCTGTGCTGACAGTGCAGAGCCTGCTTGGGACTCTCTCTCTCCTCTCTCTCTCTCTCTCTCTAAAATAAATAAATAAACCTAAAAAAAAGACTGGGCTCAGAAGTGGCATAGTGTCCCCTCTGCCATGCCCCATCGGCCCAAGTAAGCCAGACCCTAGGAGAGGGGCAACAGACCCCACCTTTCAGGGAACGCTCTGGAAGTCCCCAAGATGTAGAGCGAGAGCAAGCCAGGGCAGGCAAAAGACACTGAGTCAGAAGCCTTGGGTCTGGCTGTACCTGGATGGGGGTGGGCAGGGTTTACGTGGAGGAGTCGTGGAAAGGGAGGTCTGGGTCAGAGCACAGAGATCTTTGGCCATCGGGTTGAGCAATTTGAGTTAACTTTTAGGTAAGACGGACCACTTGAAATCTGGAGCAGGTGGAATGAGTGAGGGTCAGGGTCAGGCTGTAAAAAGAAAAACTTAAATGGCACAGAGCTTCGGCTACAAAATCAGAGAGCATTAGGAATGAGAATCTGCCCGGGCTTAACAGTATATACTGATTTATCCATATTTTGAATTTCTGCTATATTCCATCTTTAAAGCAACCTTTATTGTTTTTTGCCCTCCTCCACTCCCTGCTCCCCGTCCCCTTGGAAAGGTACACATTACATTTTAGAAAATCTAGGCTGGGAGCTTAGCTTAAAAATGGTGGGTCACCAGTAGCCACAGTGGGGGCTGGAGGGGAGAGGGACCGGAGAGAGGGCCACTCTCTCTGGGAGGAAAGGAGGACCCCATGGGTTGGACGAGTCGCGGAGGGCCAGTGGAAGGTAGTGATGAGGCAATGGTAGATTTAAGTAGTAGGCACTGTGCTGAATAATGATGATAAAAAGCTAACACTTACGGGCTGTCTGGGTGGCTCAGTCAGTTAAGCACTGGACTTCAGCTCAGGTTACGATCTTAGGACTGGTGGGTTTGAGCCGAGCCCCGCACTGGGCTCCATGCTGACAGCCAGAGCCAGCTTGGGATTCTCTCTCTCTGCCCTTTGAAACTCGAGCTTTCTCCCTCAAGAATAAATAAATAAAGAATCTTTTAAAAAGCTATTATTTAAGTACGTGCTTGAGCATTTACGTGTCATTGGCTCTATACCAGGAACTGTACATTTAGTAGTTCACTTATCCCTGAGGAGCTACTTATTTGCACCGGTCCCGTGACAAGCATGAGAAATTTGAGGCCCAGGGAGGTTAATGAAGTTGCTCAACGTCACACAGCAGAGTGGTGGACGTGGGGTAGAAGCCTGGCTGAGCTCTGAACTACTCTCAACTTCCAAAGCTACCTATTGATTTTTACTTTTCCTATGTACGATTCAAGTGTCTCCAATAGTCTATCAACTGCTGGGTAATTAGAGTTTACAGTATATCGTCTGACTTGCTGCCATTCTGAACTCAGGGCTGTTGAAAGCAGCTGACACACCTCTGTCAAATGATTTCAAGGCCAGGGTCAGGGTAGAGAGTGGAGAGCTGGCCAGGTGTGTGGAACTCCACCCCCCACCTCAACTGGCAGGATGCAGGCAATGAATGATTCAACAGTTGTCTCTTGAGCTGGTATACCACCTCCCCCCCAGCTCAAAATAGTAATCGTGATGTAATATTTGTTTAATGTCTGAAAGGACTACTCTGGTGATTTATGGACTTCAAAATTATGTAAATGTACCCGCAGGATGCTGGCGAAAGGTGCAATTTTGACATCAGAACAAGCAGATGCGTCAAGTACTTAATTAAAGGACCAGATGAAGAAAGCAGATGATGGAAATGTGGTCTCGCCACTCCGCCTCCCCCTCCCCTCCCGCCCCCAGGTCTGAGGGACCAGCAAGGTCCTGTGTCATCTTTGAAGACAAAACAGGACTATAGATGAATTCGAGAAAAAAAGGCAAATTTACTGTCTACCTATTTTTAGGGCAGGTTTCGTTTTAAAAGTGGCTGTTAACACATAAACGATATGCTTTCAGGATTCAGTGAAGTATGGTACCCCCTTTCTGATGTTAACTGGCGGAGGGAAAATGGAAGGCTCTTTGCTCCTCCCTTGCTCAGAAAGGGTGTTTATTAGCTAGGATGGTAATGAAAAATTTAATACTCGTTTATAGCAGGGGACTGTCTTGGGCCCTTCATCTGGATAGGTGGCTCTTATCCTCTCATGGATAAGTGACAGCCTTAGGAGGTCTAATCCTAATTTGTTCTTTATGGCTGTACCGTATTCTAAAAACTCAACTGTATTTCCATGCCACGGGGTTAATTACTTGCTGTAAAGATCCCCCTCTTTCCTATGGAGGCAAGTTGTCCTAACGGAAACCCGGAATGTGCTACACAAGCCATTTATACCGGAGCCCTATTTTCCTGGAGAGTGTTCTGTCAGTTCAAGAAAGGGAGGGACTTGACCAGGAGAAAGCCAAACCTTCTTCCTCCTTTCTTTCTTTCTTCTTTTCTTTTTGGTTTATTCTGAGCAACTGTCTCCAGGAAACGAGCCCACCAACCGCTGTCAAGTGGGATTCTGGTTCCCGGAGTTACACCTTCCTGCTCCTCTAAGATGCCTCTACTGGCTTTTCCTCTCGGCCATCCACTTGCAAGCTGGCTTAGCGTCCTGGAGGCCTGGGGGACAGAGGAGGGTTTTTTGTTGGTTTTTTTTAATCCCTTGGCATCTTTTTTCTTTTTTTAAATCTTTTTAGATGTTTGAGGGTGGGGCCATCCAACAGGGAGTCAACGGGGGCTGGCGGCCCATCCCTTTTCTGACCCTCTGGGGCCATCTTCCTTCTGGCAATTCTCTTCCCCCATCTGTTTTCCAATCGTTTTTGTTTAAAACAAAACAAAACAGAAAAACGAATTAAAAACAACCAGAGAAAGGAAAAGAAACAAACCCCAGAAATACACACAACACGTCTGGAGCAAGGCCAGAGTGTGCCTGTTTACATGTCGGTCTCAAATTATGAAAGAAACTCAGGTCGGCATGAGATGGGAGCAGGAGCCCTTCCCTCATCGTTAACGTAGGAAACGTTGACTTTTCTTTCATGGCACCAAAGGGGCTCTGTTTGGATGTTTTCCAGTTTTATTGACAGTGAAATGTACGCGTTGGTTTTATCTGATGATAATTTTCGCATTCCTCACACATGCCAGCAAGTGTTCACTGAGCCCGGGGTTCACTCCAGGCGCCGAGGAGAGGGCTCGGAAGGGCAGCTGAGGACCCGGGCCTTTCCGGTGGGGCAGTGACGCTCTTCTTCCTTCTGGAAGCTCTCTCCATCTCAGGACAGTACTTGGGCCTCAGGAGGGATGGGTCCTGGAGGGGAGGTGGCTCTGAAGCTGAGGCCTTGGAGCACATTTGTCCAGCTGGGGTGACTGCAGAGCTCTTTCCAGGTTGACTTTTCCCTGGAAAACCACCTGAATTCTGATGAACCAATTCAGAGGAGCTGGGGAGATATATATATATATATATTTTTTTTTTTCCCCCCTCCTCCTCCATCTTTTTGCTTATCTACGCTGAGCACCGAATTACCTTTTTTTCTTTTTATTGAAGTACGAATTACAAATAGTAAAATTCTGAACAGACCTTAAGTGACCGACTTACAAGTCTTGACAAACATATACACCAGTATATTTCTATTGCAAGTGGCAGAAGGTCGCGCCCCTCCCCCCCTTCCCAGTCCAAATCTCTTACCCCCAAGGGGACTGGTCCTATCCCCACAGCTTCCTTCTCCATGTTCTAGAATTTCCTGTGAATGGAATCGCACAGTATGAACTCCTTTGGTGTCCTTTGGTTTCGGCCTCCTTCTCCTAACATGAGGTTTTTGAGGTTCACCCAGGTGAACTGGCCCGCACCCGTAGAGCCCAAGATGTCACTAACACGACGTGTTAAGATGGGGTCAATTGTCCCACCCACTGGCCTTCAGACCAGACACCCTCTAAATGCTGGTATGTGGCCTTCTCTGCTCTTCTAAGTCAGTCTTTCCAGGGCCAAGCAAGTTCCTCTCCCAGAACTGCCCGGGCAGCCTCAGGCACCACCCAGATGGCCGCGGGGCCGTCGCCGGTAGCCTCCCCCGCCCCCCAACAGTTGCCCTCTGCCCCCCCGCCCCCCATTAAACTCAAAGGAAACCGGCTCGTCCGCTGATCAGAATTCAAGATTCGTTACATTCCACGCATCCAACAGCACACAAGTGTGTGGTTGGGTATTGATATGCAGAGTCCTTAAGAAAACGTAAAAAGGAAAAAAAAAAAAAAGTGTGTGTATGTTGCGGAGGGGGGGGGACCCAGACCTCACTGGCAGGGGATAGCAGCTCCTCGGTGGGACCAGGATTCCAAATGAAATTTTTTCTTTTTTAAATAAACGGAAGAGTCGCTCCCGGCTCCTCGCTCGGAAGGTTTCAAAGGTCGTCACACCGCAGCCCGGGGGCGTTCATCTCCCCAGCGGCCCGGAGGAGGGCGGAGGGCGGAGGGCGGAGGGAGGGAGCACACAAAAGCGAGCCGAGCCGAGAGGGCTAATGTTTCCTGTTTGCCTGGAGCCCCCTCCCCTGTGTCCCCTCCCCCAGCCCCCTCCCCGCACTCGGGCGGAAGTGAGTTTGCTCCTTTGGAGATTAAAAGGATTCCGAATTCCGATCAGTCCCAATAACCGGCGTCCTGAGCGGAGAGGAGGAGGAGGAGGAGGAGGAGGAAGAGGCGGCAAAGCAGAGAAAGAGGGGGCGCGCGCGCGCGCACGCACCCGGCGGCCCGAACCGGGGGAGCCGTGCAGAGCCCCGGGAGGGCCCAGGCCACCCGGTCTCGCTCTGTGACTCCGGGAGAGGATGACGCGCGCCGGCGGCGTCGGCCACGCGGCCCCCGAGCCCGCCGCGCCGGGCTGCCGCCGGTGCCCCTGACTCCTGCGCGCCCCGGAGGAAGCTCCGTCCCCGCGGCTCGGGATCGGAGGGGGGACCGAGGCGAGGGCGAAATGGCCCGATGACAAAGGAAATGTGATCCCCCTTCGCTGCCAAGGTTTCAGAGAGGACGGACGTGCGGAGGAGGAGGAGGGGCGCGGGGCGCGCGCGGAGCTCGGATAGCATTGCACGACGGCTCGCGCGGAGCGGGCAGCGGGTACATCCAATATCTTCCTGCCGATGAATAATTCAGGACGGCCCGCGGGGACCTGCGGCCCCGCGCTGCGGCGCGGCTAAGCCGGCGGGGAAGGAGCGCGCGCGGGAGGCGCCCGGGCCCGGCGAGGCGGGGGCGCGGGGGCCCCGGGCCGCGTGGGGCGCGCGTGCGTGTTGGGCGCCGGCGGCCGGGCCGGGCGCGCGCGGGAGCTCCGAGGCGCGTGGGGCGCGCGTGCGTGTTGGGCGCCGGCGGCCGGGCGGGCGCGCGGGGGCCCCGGGCCGCGTGGGGCGCGCGTGCGTGTTAGGCGCCGGCGGCCGGGCGCGCGGGAGCCCCGAGGCGCGTGGGGCGCGCGTGCGTACTACCCGCGTGCGGCCGCGGCCGGGCCCGCTCGCTGCAGCTGCGGCGCGGCCGAGCGCCCTGCAGGGGACGCCGCGCCCGGCCGCGCGCAAGCCCCGAGCGCCGCCCGCCAGGCCACCCAGGAGCCCCGGGCCGCCGCGTCATGCGGCGGGGCGGCCGGCGTCGCGCGGGGGGACACGGGCCCGGCGTCGCGCCGCTCCCGCCTTGGCTACTTTGGGGGCGCCTGCCTCTCCCGAGAAGAGACTAAAACTAAATCCGCTGGAAGAGAAGCGACGCAGCGAACACCCGCGGGACCGAATAACGCCGCTTCCCCCCGTCGGGACCGGGACTGCGCCGCAGGCTCGACTGTGGGGGGCCCCCCTCGGCGGGCGAGGACGGCGCTTCAGCCGCTGCGGCGAGTCCTCTGACCTGCCCGCCCCCGCTCGCCCCTCGCGTGTCGGGACTTGTTCCGGCGCTCCCGCTCCGAAAGGCACGCAGCCTCGCGTCCTCCGGGCGGAATCTGGGTCGCCTCCGGCTGGTGGCATTTGATGCCCGCGGCGTCGGGGCTGGCCGCGCGCGGGCGGGACGCGACGAGGCCAGGCGCGCCGCGCCGCTCGGGAGCCGCCTCCTGGGGGATCGCAGGCCCGATCGATGCGCTTTTCTGAGTGAGTCGGCGCCCCCCCCCCCCTCACACCACCTACCTCGCCGATCCTCCTCCTCTTCCTCTCTGGTCTCCTCCCTCCTCCGAGCCGCCTTGCAAATGGCTTCGTTCCCCGAGACCGACTTCCAGATCTGCCTGCTGTGCAAGGAGATGTGCGGCTCGCCGGCGCCGCTCTCCTCCGGCTCGTCCGCGTCGTCGTCGTCCTCGCAGACGTCCACGTCGTCGGGCGGCGGCGGCGGCGGGGGCCCGGGGGCCGCGGCGCGCCGCCTGCACGTCCTGCCCTGCCTGCACGCCTTCTGCCGCGCGTGCCTCGAGGCGCACCGGCTGCCGGCGGGCGGGGGCGCGGGCGGCGGCGGCGGCGGCGGCGGCGGCGCGCCCGGGGAGCCCCTCAAGCTGCGCTGCCCCGTGTGCGACCAGAAGGTCGTGCTGGCCGAGGCGGCCGGCATGGACGCGCTGCCCTCGTCCGCCTTCCTGCTCAGCAACCTGCTCGACGCCGTGGTGGCCACGGCCGACGAGCCGCAGCCCAAGAACGGGCGCGCCGGGGCGGCGGCGGCGGGCGCGGGCGGCCACAGCAACCACCGGCACCACGCGCACCACGCGCACCCGCGCGCGCCCGCCGCCGCCCCGCCGCCGCTGCCGCCCGCGCCGCCGCCGCCCGCGCCGCCCCGCGCCGCGCCCGGAGGCCCCGCCGCCGCCGCCGCCGCCGCCGCCGCCGCCCCGGCCGCGCTGCTGCTGCGCCGGCCGCACGGCTGCAGCTCCTGCGACGAGGGCAACGCGGCGTCGTCGCGCTGCCTGGACTGCCAAGAGCACCTGTGCGACAACTGCGTCCGCGCGCACCAGCGCGTGCGCCTCACCAAGGACCACTACATCGAGCGCGGCCCGCCGGGCGCCGCCGCCGCCGCCGCCGCCGCGCAGCAGCTCGGGCTCGGGCCGCCCTTCCCCGGCGCGCCCTTCTCCATCCTGTCCGTGTTCCCGGAGCGCCTCGGCTTCTGCCAGCACCACGACGACGAGGTGAGTGGCGGCGACGGCGCGGCGGGCACCGCCGGCCCCCGGGCGGGGTGGGGGTGGGGGGCCGGGGGGGTCCTCGGCGGTGTCGCGCGTTCCCGCTGGCCACGCGGCGGTCGCCGCCGCCAAGTGGGTCGTTACGCGGGAAGTTTGCGCGCGCAGGCCTGGCTTCGGTGCGCTCGCAGCGAGGGACCCCGGGGCGCGGAGGCCCCTGTTCCGTGTGTCATGTTCTCTCGGGCCCGCGGTGGCCGCCGGAGCCTCCGAAGAGGCAGGAGCCGGGAAGAGTGGGTGTGTGTGTGTGTGTGGGTGTGTGTGTGTGTGTGTGTGTGTAGAGCTGGCCTGCGTGTGCGAGCCCCCCCCCCCCCATCGTTCCCGAGGTTTGAGAACACTCTCTTTTGAGTTTTGATTTCCTCATTTCTGCTGGATAAAACGTGTGTGCTGTGAAGCCGGGGATAGAAGGTTGTGTGTCTGTGTCTGTGTAGACGTGGTCTCCCGCTACAGCCACCCCACAGGCCCCCCGTGTGCTGAGGGCCCTCCTTTCGCGGATTTTCTCTTCTTGTTCTTGGTAGTAGATTGGCTTTTAAGTGGCTTAGGAGCCCGGATCCAGACGGCTGTGAGTTTGTGATGCTTGCGCCTGTGTAGACTCTGGCTCCCACGTGCGCGCTTGTGACAAGGGGGAATCAGGGGACCTTGCCGTGGACCCCGCGCAGCCCGGAGCCCCCCCGCCGCCCTCGATCCCCGTGGGAGTTGGTTGCCCTGATTGGGGAGGTGCCCCCACCCCGCTCCGCCACGGGCGGACTTCCCTTCGGGAAAAGCCAGACGGGTCTGCAGCGGCGCGGGCCCGGGGGCTGCCCTGCAGCCTTTGGGTTTGATTCCGCCCTTCCGGCCGTCGAACGAACCTCTCTGGCTGACTTTGCACACTGTGAGACCTTCTTCCACTGGCACCTGAAACTCCTTAGAGGAGGGGACTAAAATTCTCGGGGAGCCGGCTCTGCTGGGCGGTCGGGGCTGGAAGCCGTCTCCCCGCAGCCCCGGGAGACGGGCTGTGTGCGGTCCCGCTCGGAGGGCGAGCCGGGGACGCCGCAGGGTTTAAAGATCCGGGTGGGAGTCGCCGCGCGCGAGCCGGAGCGCGCGTGCCCGCGCCGAGCGGACCGGCTTGCACGGCGTGCAGCCGCCTCCACGCCTAACCTATTTGGGGAGGAGGGCGGAGCTACTGCTTGATGGACTTAAGCCGGCGTCTCCTATTGGAAAAAAGTTGAAATTCTAATCTACTCGTTGTAGGCGCCGCATTTTAGGTTTCCTTCTAGGTATTAAGCTAGGGGGCATTCTTTTCCCTCAGTTTTAAGCTTTGCGTCTTAAAAGTTGCCACATTTGGGGGTGAATGGTTGTAGTCCGTTCTTCCATCGCCTTTAGAAAAACGAATGGGCTAAATACTGGTCTTGAAGCCCAGGAATGAAAAGATGGAGTCAAATCACTTGAAGATTAGGGTCAATGGGGAGGGAGGGGGGCCGTGAACGGAGGGAAGGTTTCCCTCCTGGGAGGGGCGGCGATTGAATTCTCCCTCCCGGCAGCTGAGTTTAAGCGTCAGGTTTTATTTATTCCCAGTTAGAGATCCACATTCGTTTTATTGAGGCTAAAGCAGAAGATGCTTCGTGTGGCGGGACTTGTAAAAGGTTTATACACTTTTAAAATTATAACACTATTATTCAAGCGGCGTGGGTGAGTGTGACGCGAGGAGCGAAGGTCCCCTCTCCAGGGAGGCTCACGGACGCCCTGAAAATTCGCGTCGTAAGTTGTGCGCTGCTCGGCTGAAGTTCGGCCGAGGCACTGATGTGTGTGACATTGTCAGCCGTCCTTAAGAGCATGAAGTTTTCTGGGGTTTTGGAATTGTTTCCTCTCGGGTTTTCATTTAAAGAAGACCTCTTGGAAATTACTTTCTAGACCTTTAATCACGTCTGCATTTAGGATGCCGGGAAGTTTGGAGCTTAAAGGTGACCCACCAGTGCTGGGAATGGAGGAGCGGGGGCAAGCACCAGGGTCACGCAGGGGTGCCCCCTGTTCGCCTTCCGTGTCGGCAGGCCCCCTTAAATACTCAGGGCGCCCCTGCCTTTCCGCGGGGCTCCCTGACCTTGGGGAGGAGGCTGGGACCCTGGCCTTTCCGCGCTTCCATCCCCGGGAAGCTGCTTTGGCCGCCCGGGTCGTGGGGGGGGGGCGGGTTGGCCTGGAGGGTCTGTTCCCGCAGGGCTTTCTTGAGGCTCCCCCACCCCCAGAAATGGCTCCTTGGGATTGGCAAGTTTCCAGAACTTGCGTTAAAATGTAACTGTGAAACCTCAAAGAAGATAATTGGATTTAACAACAAGATGATAAAGGAATTGTGACTCCTTTAAAACCGTAGTTTGGGGTTTTTCGCTAGTTTCTGTGGCCCGGTGGTCAGTTCAAAGGCCTGCAGGCGCCGGGCCGCGAGCAGCCGGCGGCGCGGCGGTCAGGACCGGAGGGAGCCCGGGAGGCGGCGGCCGTGGCGCCGCGGCGGGACGGTGGCCGCTCCTCCCCCAGGGCACCTGAGAAGGCGTCCTCCGGAAACGGGGGGCGCGCCTTTGGGGCGCAGAGTATAGGAGTTCAGCGCAACGAGAGCGAGCGTGCCGGCCCACGATTGCCCTTGTTGTGATGCCGATGTTTGGGGCAGGAGCCCCCATCTCGGGGTAGGGGGCGGTCGGGGGGGGTGCTGTGTCACAGGGGTGGGCCCTGAGCGTGTTGCGTCCCCGGAAGGGCCCGGTCGCTAGCCGGGTGGGCAGGCGGGGGTGACGCAGTTGCCATCTTGAGCCGCGGGAAACATTGTAGCTCAGCCCACCGACCGTGGCAATATTGTTCCCACTTAGGAAGGGCAGGTGGGAGTTGGTTTTCCTGTCTCCAGGAAGGAAAATGGGGCACAGGTGCCTGTTGAGTTACTGCATTGGACTTAAAAAAAGAAAACACAGCCTCCTCTCCATATAAATTCTAGAATTCCAACCCACTATGATCTTGTGTATTGATCCGTCCATACTAGGCTAGAGGACTTTTCCCCCAAGAAACGACTCTCCAAAAGCCAGTTTCCTACCACTTTGAGGAAGGCTGTTGGCTGCCTAACGTAATGGGTTCTTGTCTTGTATCTTACTTTGAATAAGTCATGGTGATCGGGGATGGTAGCAGTACTGGGATCAATATATTCTACATTCCCAGGATCTAAGCTTTTTCAGCGCAGTGTATGCGTGTTTTTAAGCTATATGTACGAGCTGTGTAAATTATAAAATGTATGTCACAAGACATTTTGTTCAGGACAAGAGGAAAACAGCGAATAGAAATGTGCATTCCAGAATTTCTGTGCCCCATCTTCGACGTGCTCTACAGGATTCGGTGGACATGTGTCCGCTTAACACAAATATCTCCTCCATTTGCCAGAAAACTTAACTTTCCGTGCATCCCTTGGAAATAACTGGAACTTGCCACTTTGAATCCAGTTCACCAGGTTGGAGTCTCTTAAAAAAAAAAAAATGGCTTGATGAAAATATATGGGAGGGAAGTGTTCATCATTGATATCTTAATTCTGTAGCCTTGAATGTAATCTTGGAGGCTTTTTAAAAAGTCACAGTTTGAGCTGAGGAATGTGCCCAGCCTTCCATTAAAGTGCTTAGGGATGGGTTTTATCAACATGGATCCCAAGGACGAGTTTGCAGCCTGTGCTCATGAGGTTGCGGGGGGGGGGGGGGGGCGCACCACCACCACCTCTTCTAAGCTGTACCAGTAAGAGTTGAGGCTGTGCTGGTGTCGGCATCTGGAGGTCTTTTATGACTGACTTTTCTTCCTAAAGAGTAAACTACTCACTGGTTTTAAGGTGACATAGACTTGGTTTTGGTCTGCAGAATTTTTATTCCCAATGTTAGGAAATCTGTATTTTGGAAACCTTGGAGATATTTCCGGAAGAAGACAGGCACTTATTTTCTCCCATACTGCCATTCTTCAGTTTACTTGAACCTAGTAAACATTCTTTGATTCAGTTGTTTTAACTTACTAGGACAACGGACTAAAGGAATCTGTAAAGTGTTTGAAGAGTAGAATTTCCCTTTTCCACCCTGATTCTCCGTCCTGTTTTAGCTACTTATAAATGCTATTTCTAGGGAGCCCTTTTACATTGGAGGTCGCCAAAACCAACATTAAAATGTACTAGTTAACCTGGAAACCACGTTCTTCTGGCGTGTAAGATTTTGAGCACAGCTGTTTGGCTTTTTATGTTTCCATCTCATAAACATTGTATATATAGAGATGAAATCGCCGAAGTGCTTGTGTTGGTTGAAGTACTTTGCCAGGAGAAAACAGGATTTGTAAGTCTTTCTGATTAAAGAGAAATTTTAACTTACGTGATCGTTCTAGACCTCTAAAACATAACCCTTCCCGCCCCAGTTTTATTTCCTCTGGTGCTAGCTTTGCTTAGTTTTGCCATTTCTCCATCTCCATCCCTCACACAGGGCAGGGTTTATTTTACATGTATTCATTCTCAGTGAATAAAGGACCATTTTGGTGTCATTCTTCGTGACACTGAAGCAAAAGGTTGAGAAGTGTCCTCGCTCGCAGGCGGGTTCAAAGTAGTGTTCCCTCCCCCAAACACTAACAAAGAGTTAGAGGCTGGGCCCAGCGGCGAGGCTGCTTTTGCCATCTCCTCTTATTTTGGAAGAGAGCAACAGAAAGATATTGATGAAGAATTACAGTTGCTTAGAGGGAGCAAGATGGCCACCCAGCGCAAGCCCGGCTGTCCCCCTTTCTCTCCACCTTTCACACATTGTGACTTCCAAGGGGAAGCTTGATCCATCTTTCCTCTTCAGCTGATGTGACCTCGTGCTTGTTCAGTACTAAATTATTCTTTTCCCTTTGAGGTTTTGTCTATACCCACAAACTGAGTTGACTGAAACCAGATTGACTATTTTGACTGACAGGACTCCAGAAAAAATCAGGAGGGATGGGGGGGGGGGCCGCGG